TCTGCGGCCCGCCCGCTCGCCGCTGCCGCCACCCACTGTCCGCTCCCGGCCGGGGAGGGGGCTGGCAGGGGCGGCGCTGCGAGGCTCCTCCGGAGCGAGGGAGGGAGAAGGGGAGGGAACGAAGGAGGGCGGGCCCCGCGGCCGCGAGGAATCCCGACTCGGGCGCGCCCCCTCTCGCGCGTCCTCAGCCACTCGGGGAGGAAGGGGTGTGAAACATGATAATGACAGCCCGGGCTCTCGGCCGGCCAGGCTCCTACTCTTGCTGGCTGAACGGCTATTTCGGGAGACCCGTCCGTGCCAGGCGCAGTCGGCAGCGGTGAACGCGACAGGCGAGAGCCCTCTTGTGTGCCCGAGCCTGTGCTCACGGAGTGTTTTCATGGGCATTTAACCTTCCCGGCAAGCCCCTGGGGGCCAGGTCCTGTGGCTAACCCGTTTATGATGAGGATACTGAGCTTCCAAGGAGGTGCAGAGGCTTGTCCAAAGCCACTGAACTAGAAAGCGATCAGGTTAGGTGTCAAACCCAGGCGGTCTGCACCTGACCGGTCCGGACCCTGGGGAAATAGAGCCAGGAATTATAACGGTATGTTTGCTGGGTGCTTCTCTTGCATACCTTATGCCATTCAGACCTCACAACAGCCCTTTGAAGGTAGACACCATTATTTTCTCTTCCACAGACAGGGAAAACAACCTCGGAGAAGTGAGGAGCTTGGCCAAGTTCTCAGAACTAGAAATAGATTACCAGGCCAACAGACCAGAGCCTACACTCCTGGCCACTAACTTCCAGGTTACAGGTGAGGAAATAAACATGGAGGAGCAAATGGTGTTGCAGAGGGTTTAGCAAGTCAACCAAGTCTCCTGTCCTCGAGGAAATGTCCTGGTTGGCAGGGGTTCCAGTATACCTTACTGCCCTGAACCACTGTGCTGTAGCCATTAGGGTTTGAGGGCCCATGGCCAAAAGAGTCCCTGTATTTGCTCAAAGTCATAATGCAAACAAGACACCTCCGGGCATCTAGCCTTGGGTTATGGCCTGAGAGGCAAAGATTGGGTATCTCTCCCTGCATCTGCCCCAGAGGTGCTTTGTGACCATAGCCAAGTCCCTTCCTCAGACTAAGCCTCAGCATCCTCGTGGATAAAAACTAAGAACTATGAATTCCATAACGTACCCAGGGCACCTTTGACATCCACAGATAAACAAATGGCCGTCACTTTAAGTAGCTGCCTCCCCTTAGAAGGGATAAGACAGTGGATTAAATGGCAAGACACTGCTCAGGACAACACCTCCCAAATCAGCTCGTGCTTTAGAATCCTTCAGAGCAGGGCTGGGGAACCCCTGCCATACCCATCCAACCACTGACTCCAGTGGGGTAGGCTAGTCTTCCCACTTGAATACCCAAGAGACTATGCAGAGTTAGGATTCTAAAGTGACACTCTGACACCCAGGTTGAGCCATCTGAAACAGTGTCTGTTACCTCTGCAGGGCAGAGAAGGTTTGTAGTTTGTTGCCAAACTATCATGGGAATCATGGTCTGGAGGCAGGAAGCAGCTGCTCAGATCAGCTTGTCCATTTCTCATACTATTTTAACTCCCTCTCCCCCACTACACACACCTACTCAGGGCTATAGATTTCTCCATCATAGCCCACAAAATGCAGGGGATACATTAAAATACAAGTCTAGCACCCATTTCTCTCAACTCTGCAGCTCTAGTAGCTAGAAAATTTAGTTCAAATCCTTCAGTAAAGTTTCAAAACACTTTGTTTTGTCTGTACATGAGGTGTTCATATGTGCATAACAAATACATATACCCAGTCACAGAAATAAAAACTGTTAATGTTGCCCAGGGTCTCATAGAAATAGAATCCAACAGCAATGATACTAATAGCTTGCACTTACTGAATGTTTACTGTGTCAGGCCATACAATAATGCATTATTTAATTTAACCTTCCCAACCATTTATGAGAAGGTACTATTCTATTTCACAGATGTAGAAATCGAGGCTTGGGGAAAATAAATCACTTGCCTAAGGGTCACATGACTGAGATACTGATGGATATGAGGATACCTCAGCATAAAAAAATGTATATTGCTTTCCTCAAACTCAGACACTAAAATACCAATTCATTCATTCAACAAGCATTTATTGACTACCTACTGTGTTCCAGGCCCTGTGCTAAAGACGCAACAATGAACACAGACAGAGATGGAGCACATTGAGGCCAGAGCGGTGGGTAGGCCCCTTACGGGCCAGGGTGAGGACTGTGGATTTGATCCTAAGAACAAAAGGGGAGGTTAGGGGTGGAAGGAGTGGTGAGAGTCATATGATAAATATCTGTGTTCTTGGGGACCACTCTAGCTGCTGAGGCACGATAAATTGGAGATGGTCACAGTGGGAAGAGGGAGACCAAGTATGAGGCCATCTGACAGTGGCAGTAGAAAAGGAGATGTACGGATCCTGCCCAAAGTAATATCCTTGAGGCTGTAAATATTTACATGATTGTAAAACTTCAAAACCAGAGAGGAGTTACCCAGTATCTGAACATTTTGTTCATGTGACTCCGCAGGGCTCTCAAAGTGAACTACAACTTAGGAACAAAGACCTCTTTTCTAGAAGAAAAAGACTGACCCTTCATTGGGGGGGGGGGGTCATGTGAGTCACTGAGAATCACTAACCAGTACATTACAAAGGTGATTTGTAACCTGTTATGGTAGAAGCTGGGAACACTCATCTTCACTTTGGCTAAATAAGGGAGGTAGAGTGGAACAAAGAAAGACACAGAATGGCCAGAGTCTGGACAGTGACTTTGGACTTCAGCTTCCACCTCTGAAAAATGGAAGTAACAGTTTGTAAAGATTAACTGACATAATAAAGCACCTGGCCCTCAATGGTACTTATTACTTGCCCATATTAAGTATTTAAGTATTTCAATGGCAAAGTGGTTCACTTTGTTTCCCCCCAACAGATTAATTAAAGCAAGCTATTTTTTTTAATGCACTACTGTTAAAACAGGTAGTTTAGGGCTTCCCTGGTGGCGCAGTGGTTGAGGGTCCGCCTGCCGATGCAGGAGACACGGGTTCGTGTCCCGGTCCGGGAAGATCCCACATGCCGCGGAGCGGCTGGGCCCATGAGCCAGGGCCTTTGAGCCTGCGCATCCAGAGCCTGTGCTCCGCAACGGGAGAGGCCACAACAGTGAGAGGTCCGCATACCGCAAAAAAAAAACCAAACACACACACACAAAAAACAGGTAGTTTAAATGATTTTGCTGCGATGGGAAAAATGAATCAGGGAAGCACAGCTTTATTAAGATATGTCAGATAAATTAGTCAGATATTATTAAATATACTTTTAGATGCTTAACCCTTTTCTGAAGAAAAATATTTAAGGCATCTTACTTTTCTGTGTGGACTGGGTTACAAAGCTCTTTAACATGAAGTTCACTATGCCTCATTTCTTTATTATAATCTATAGGTAAATCTTGTCCCAAAAGACCGTAAAGGGATGCTGGGAGAATAAATGATGCACCTGGGTGCAGGGGCCGAAAACAAAGAAGCCCAATAAATATTTGCTGAATGAATCCTTATTCATTATGATCGCCACAGGGAGCATACTGCATTAACGCAAATTCCTACTAATATGTAATACCCTGAGAATTTTGAGAAAAATGTAAAACCTCAACTTATTTCTTTTAAATAATAATTCAAGTGAACCATCACGCTAAAGTTTTTGCATGAAGGAGACACAGCGGCTGGAAATGACCAGCGGTTGGAGATCACTTTGCCGCATAACGTGGGTCTTACTGTCCTGACAGCCAACTAACTGCGAAGAACTTCAGGCAGGGACATCGCCTCCCACGCGGCTGCACAAACCCACCCAAGCCATCTCCCGTGGGCAGGAGTACTGATCAGCTGCGGCGCGAAGGGCCGCCCCCGGAGGTGCCAGGGGACCTGTTTCACCCCAAAGTGGGCCAGCGGGGCCCGTCCCCGCCCCGGCGGCGCAGAGCTGACTCAGGGAGTGGGGAGGGAAAGGAAGGCGGCTGCTGCGGGGTCCACTCCGACGCGCTCCCCACCATGTAGGTTACCGATCTGCGCCCTCGCCTCGGGGTCACCTCCTTTCCTAACAAGAGAGAGCCCTTAAGCAGGCGAAGCCTCGCCCTCCCCCCATTTGTATCAATGACAACCATTCCCTGGAGGTGCCCTGCGCTTTAGTTTCCAAACAGCTTTGACATATGGCCCCAGTGCGTCGGGAGAGGCAGGCCACCGGGTGCCCACACTTTAACGAAGGGAAACCGAAGCACGGGAGTGGGAGGGGCTTCGGAAGCGAGAGTG